CAACAGTATCAATCCGTTATTCCATATTTAGTATTATTACTTTGAATTGTTGCAATATTTGCATTACATTATTATTAAATCAGTTTGTAGACCACGTACCTCTGGAGTATCTGCATTCGTAGCTTGTTTCAAACGACTGTTAAATGCATACATAGATTTACTGAAGTATTCCTCTAGTTTATTAAATTCAGTTGCGAGATCCATCCTGCTACGCCTCTAGTAATAAGGTATTTGTCACTGCTCAAGGAATGCAGCAAAAAACTAAAACCGTAACTGCACTCTGGGAAAACAAATTTTTTACTGCGTAGGCACTAGGTACTTGTTAACTTGCTGCGGAAATACTTTTTACACTTTTGATAGCGAATGTTCCACGGAAAAAACTGAGTTTTAGGCAGGTATCTATCGGAAGCTGTTTACTCGAGCATCAATGAAATGGTAGTTTTTATTTTTATATTATATTAACATAAATATTCTGGATAATAAGGACACTCTGGTGACAGAGTATCTGTCAATGATGTCTTCTCTTGGCTTTAACGCATTCATCAATAAACCTACTAGACTGTCTTCGGGAACTTGCCTGGACCATATATTTGTTAGGCAAAAATTAAAAACCAATTGTTTATTATTAAATTCTTATATACTCAATGAGGAAATAACGGATCACAGTCCAACAGTGCTTTGTATAACTAATAAAGCACGACCTTCTGGAATTTTGGAGGTTGGGCAAGTTGTAACAAGAAACAAACTAAACATAAATAAATTTAAGAAGTTATTGAATGATTGTGATTGGAATTTGGTAACTAGTGTGAATGATCCAGAAATAGCTGTAAAGTTATTTTTGACTACCTACAGGGACTTGCTGTTGAAAGCAATAGAAACAATTGCCACAAGAGTATCAATTCAAAAAAAAAATAACACCATGGATAAGCAATGGAATTATTGTTTCTTTGAAAAAAAGGGATAAAATGAATAAGAGACTTTTAGCAAATTATAGTTTGTCTTTGGAAAATCAGTACAAGGATTATCGTAATAAACTAAATAAATTAATACACAAACAAAAGAATAATTACTATAGAATGCAAATTGAAAAAAATAAAAATAACATGAAAAAACTGTATGACGTCATAAAGGATGCAACATACGAAAAGAGTTACAAAGGTCAATCTTATATATCTATTAATGATAATGGCAACCAGTTTACTGATTCTATTGAAATGGTAAATTTTTGTAATGAATATTTTATTGATGTGGGTGTTAACATGGCGCGGTCAATTCCCACTCCTCAATCTGAGTGTAAATTAGCGCACCCCGTCCAGAATTCTATTTTCTGAAGTCCCATTACAAGGAATGAACTAATAAAACATATCGCATCTTTGAAAAGTAATATTGCTCCTGGCTATGATGTCATACAGGTTGAAACTATAAAGCAAACTCATTTTGAAATTTTAACATCTTTATTACATATTTACAATTTAATTTTGGTAACTGGAATTGTCCCGAAAGAGTTTAAAACGTCAATAGTTATCCCGATACATAAATCAGGGGATACTAAATCCATTAGAAATTACAGGCCTATAAGTTTAATAACAAATTTTGCAAAGTTATTTGAAAAATGTGTTAAAACTCGATTAATGGTTTTTTTTAAAGCTAATAATGTATTATCAGATAATCAATTCGGGTTTCTGGAGGGTTACAGTGCAGTGGATGCTATGCAGAAATTAATAACTGAGATTGTCAATAATCTGAATAATGGCAACAAGAGTATTGCTGTTTTTGTGGACCTTGCTAAGACTTTCGACGCGGTTCCTCACGATAAGCTAATCGAAATTCTTCACGGCAATCGTATAAGGGGAGTGGCTTATGATTTACTGAGGGATTATCTTTCAAACTGCTAAAACTAAATAACATAACAAGCAATGAAAAAATAATAAAGATTGGTGTCCCGCAGGGTACTGTTTTGGCACCGCTCCTTTTTATCATTTATATAAATAAGATGCTAAAGCTGGACACGGGGGGTTTAACTATTTCTTATGCTAATGATACTGTACTTCTTTTTGCAGATTCTAGTTGGGAGGATGTAAAGTGTAAAACAGTGTATGGTCTAGGTATGGTAAAAGACTGGTTACAAGAGAGTAAACTAACATTGAATTTATCTAAGACAAACTATATTGCGTTTTCGTTGACCAATAAAAACAGAGTGTCTCAAACTAAATATCTTGGAATCATTATTGACCAACATTTAAAGTGGCAGCCGCATGTTGATTATGTATCGAGTAGAGTTAGAAAATTAATCCATAAATTTTGTCTACTGCGTGACTTTCTCGATAAAAAACAGTTTATAAAGCATTTGTTGAATCTATAATTAGATATGGGATATTAGTATGGGGGGGAATTGTATAATAATGCTCTACATAAACTCATTATTATTCAGAAATATATTATTAAAATTATTTTTAAGAAAGATAAAAGATTCCCCACTAATAAACTTTTTACAAAGGATGTGTGTAATATTAGATCTTTGTACGTGATGACAGTATCTACTTTTATTCATAGAAATGAAAAACTACAGAAACAAGTAAGTCATAACTACTGTACTCGTGCAAATGTGGGCAGGCAAATAGAAATTCCCAAGAATAACAATAACCTAAACTTAAGATGCATAACGTACATAGGACCAAAGATATATAACATTCTGCCAGAACACTTGAAAAAGATGAAAAATATTAAAACATTTAGCACCAGCTGCAGAGAATATATTTTTGAGGATACTGCACAATTTGAAAGGTTTTTCTAATGATTTTTTGTATCATAGTATGATTGAACTATTGTTCGGGATATTGAGGTTGATTATTGTTTTTTTATTGTATTTTATAATACAATAAATTGCATTTTCTTTTCATTTGTAAGTCCGGATGATGAAAGCACATTCATGTGGTTTGAACCATCTAGGTGGATCTTTCTGTCATCAGAATGTCTTTGATGAAGAGGAATTATATTGTTGTGTTATATATTTATGTGTATTTATAATTTTTGTATATGGTCTTTGTTGGATGTTATTGTCATTAAATAAATAAAATAAAATAAATTGTTAACAGAGGACGCAAGTATTACCGAGAAGTAAACGTATTTGACTATCACTAATCCATAGGGTTAATTTAGGTCAGTGTCAAGCACCATTTTTGTGGATGCAACATGGTTGCCAGACTGTTACAAACGCTACATATGACGTTGCCAGCTTTTTGCATAAATCTGAGACTGTTGAATTTCTAATCATATATGGGACATTGATAACACCAGAACATATATTTGTTGTTTTGACAAATAAGTAGTCACTCATCTGTACTTTGTGTAAGATTTTATATGATTCAGGCATGTTGACTGTATGTTATCAGAATATCTGACTTTCCATTCATTCTGATCAGCTTCTTTTTATGCTGTAAATATTTAAAAAGTATCTATAACATTTTATGTTGAAGTATATATTCAAGCTTGAAACCAATATTAACAGAGAGGCCCTACAAATCACTCAATTTGACATAAACATACATTAGTCATTATTGTGAAACACATTAGCCATGATCGTGAAGCACTGACTTGTCCAGATATGTGCCCTGGAGCGAATAACAGTAGCAGGTGTTCTATATTCTATCTATCTCTGGACAATTGAATGTTTCATAGCAAATATGTGACTGTTGAATCAAGTAGGAATCCTCAATAGTCATAATTTTCTAACAAATACATTCTTCCAATATAGAATCTCTCTCTATCTCTTAAACTTTTTTCAAGGGATCAGGATGCTCTGTTTGTTGATTAAAATCACCTAGAAGAAAATGAGTTGTTCTCTTATACAATTTTACCAACATGTTAGGTGTTATACTCCAGATTCCAAAGTTCATCAACCCAACAAAAAATGTGGTTTGAATAAATATATAATTAAAATAATTTTACCCTTGTTTTAATTGGACCCTCTAGAGTCTTGAAATATGTCTAGATATGAAGAAGTACTAATGTAATGTGAAATACTATCTACCCAAATTCATGCTCAGTACTTTTTTGTTTTTTTACCATTCACAGATATTTACGAGGGATGTCTTTTAAGTTTTGCATATAGAAACATAGTAGGCCGCGCAGATCGTCAGTACTGAATCTTAACCTCACTCTTTAGTAAACTCAAATTCAAAGTTTCACAACAATACGTGCAGTGTTCTCAATACAGTGAATTTTTAAGTGTCACCAAGTCATTAGAAAAACGGAACTCAACCGAGAACATTTTCGCGCCATAATTTATTACAACTTTCAGAGACAATTATCGCAACAAGAATGCGTTGCTGAGTTACTGTCTGTTTTCGGCAACGAAGCGCCAGATTAGTCGACAATGTCCCGTTGCTATGGAGAATTCAAACGTGGACGGGTGAGTCTTAGCGACGATCCTAGGGTGGGTGCACCAAAAACGGCAGACACCCAGGAAAACGTCGATGCTGTGCGCAAACTCATCATTGAAGATAGACATGTGACATGTGACATATCCTTGAAGATCTCAAAGACCTCAATTCAAAAAATTTTGCATGAAGAATTAGGAGTAAGAAACTTAGTTTCTCGTTGAATACCCCACCTGTTGACTGAAGAGCAGAAAGCAGCCAGGGTTAATTGGTATCAAAAAACGCTTGACCGTTTCAATTCCGGAAACTCAAAAAATGTGTACAGCATTGTTAGTGGTGGTGATGAATCGTGGATTTACTGTTGTGAAGTCACCAGAAGAAGCAGTTGATGCATTCAAAAATGCCGTTTTGGATCTGCCAGCAAACGAGTGGAATGAGTGCTTCGAAAATTGGTTTTTAAAACTACCTACCGTGTTGTTTTATTTCCATATGCAAAACTTAAAAGACATCCCTCGTATTGTTATTTTCTCTAGAGTAAAAATATAGTGTAATGAATTATTTATAGTTGTCGCTTCATATCTGGATTTGAATAAAAGTTATTATAGTAACATTTTGCCCTAGGTTTGGGGAGGAGACCCAGCAACATTCATAAATTCATCACGAACCCGAACGAACAGAGGGGGACAGGGAGGCTTTCAGAACAGAGACAACAGATGGGGAGGCGGTGGTGGTGGGAGTAGAGGCAGGGGCGGGGGAAGACAATCTGATAGGGGAGGTGAGAGGCAGAACTGGAGAGGAGAAGGTGGCAGAAGTGAGAAATGCCAGGAGCTCCGTGTACCTTCCAGATATGTTGGCAAGGTTATTGGTAAGTTCATTATTGATAAGAGTTGTCACAGGTCAATAAGGTGAAAGGGAAAGTCAGCAAATATAAAAGCCTGGGTGGTGAGTTATGTCTAGGAAAAGGCAGAATAGATTTCGCCAGCATGTGCTTACTTATTGGTGCTAAGATTACCACTTGTTGTGTGACCTCAGCCTTACTTCTCTAATGTTACATGCTTGATCAACCGTTAATCCCCTATAGGCCGCGGTGGTTCCAAAATAGGCGAACTGCAATTGGAATCGGGAGCCCGGATTAATGTGACCAAGGAATCGGATGGTGATACGACATTAGTGCAGTTATTTGGCAGTGAAGAGGCGGTTGCAAAAGCCAAGCAGCTCATCGAGGAACTGACAACTGACACCATCAAAATTGGAGGTGACCCACCACAACCCAAGCTTGAAGATCATGGAGTACAACAGCAAGAAGAGCCTAAGGAGATCGTTGATTGGCAGAGCTTCCTCAAAAAATGTGTGAGTTGTTTTTCTGTTTTGATAAATTCCTTAAATCTGAGACTGTCAGCTTGCTAGACAAGTGAAACTACCTCATATCCATTCTACAATGCTTTATATTATCCCCTGGAATTCCATCTTGATTTGTTCCATCCTTTTTACAAAAGGGGCTTGATACATTTAACCTTATTTACTGTTGATGTGCCCTATATAGCTAGAGAACAATCAGCCACTGTTCATAGTTCCATCATACTCAGTCTTGGATTTTCTACTGTAATAATTCCTTATCAACCTCACACCACTCTCTTGGAGTGGGCATTTCCCAGTACTTTGTACCGCCTCTTTTGGAAATTTTACACCCATTGTTGCTCACTGGTTCCAGTTCTATGAGGGTGAGATGAGTTCCTATCCTAGCACACTGATCAGCACTCTCAGTACCAGTTATACTCATATGGCTGACAACTTGAGAGGGTTACCCTATTGATATTCGCCAATGTCTTTAGGTGCTATGGCAGTCTCACACCATGTTCGATATGCAACTGTGTTTACAGAGATAGTAATTCATATGAAGAATCAAAATGTCGCCATGATACAGAAGTATGGTTATTCTCAGCCTGCCATTGCTGCAAGCCAATCACGTTGTTTTACTGGTCTAGTGGAGTAGAAAGCCACAAACCTCATTATACTATTTGTTACTGATTAATTTTGGATGGCTATAGGAAGATGCGGAAAAAGCCGAGTGGAGCAAATACCCTGAAATCCAGAAGCAGTTCTATGAAGAACACCCTAACGTAACGGCGATGACTGATGAAGAAGTGGAAGCCTTCAGAGAACAGAACAACAACATTGTTGTGGACCGAACATTTAAAACTGAAAATAGTAAACCCATTCCAAAACCATGCCCGGAGTTCTACTATGCTTTCCATCAGTATCCAGAGATCCTTGAAGAAATTAAAAAAGTGGGCTTTGAGAAACCCAGTCCCATTCAGGCCCAGGCGTGGCCTGTTCTGCTCAGTGGCGAGGATCTTATTGGCATTGCACAGACTGGAACAGGTGAGTTTTCTATGATGCGATAAAAATGTGTGAGCTAGTCAGTTTACTGGAAAAACAAGTGTCTGAAAAAACTTTTATTACAAAATCATATAAGAACAGTTCATAGGTTTTTTTATATTGCTGCAGCCACGTACGCAGAGTATCCATTACGGTAGAATAACAGCTGGTTATGTAGGAATATTTCAAAATTCCCTATATCAACAAATTTTGTCAGATCCGTCAACGCCGTAGACGTAGCAGTATTTTGTTTTGATTTTTTTGTACGCTACAGATTCGTTTTGTACTAACAACTCTTTTATTCAAAAAAGTTCATTTGTACACAAAAACGCTACAATCAAGTTTTACTAGATTTACTACTGATACATTATTGCCAACATTACAGACTAATATAAAGATATCACTTGCTGATCATCTGTTCACCTCAGTAGACGTCAAAACGTGATGGATACTCGTGAAATGGGGTTTACCACTAATGGGGCTGTGACCTTAATGCAAGAAGCATTTTGAAGTGAATCCATAAGTCTGCCAATGGGTTTTGAGTAGTGGTAAAACCTCGTTCATATCAAAAACTTTAACATGTATATATCAGCGACGCACTCATTCGTGCAGAAATCGTATAATTGTTTCCAGATCTGACATTTTCACTGATATTTTTTGAAACTAGCCATGAAACACGTTTCTTGTATTCAGAATTTTTTTGTAGGTAAAACACTAGCATTCCTATTGCCTGCTCTGATCCATATCGATGGACAACTAGGCAGACGAGAAGATAGGGGCGGACCAGCAGTATTGGTGATGGCACCCACAAGAGAGTTGGCTCTGCAAATTGACAAGGAAGTAAAGAAATATCAATATAGGGGAATCACCTCGTAAGTACATTATATTCACTATTCATTTCAAAAATGTTCCATTGACCCACCTGTACATTTCTCACAATTGAATGCCCAGTACTTTCTATTAACCTCTGCACAATATTTGGAGCTTTAAACCGTTAATGTTGAACGATATTGTTGATCTTGTTGTTCATCACTATTTCTTATTTCAGGATATGCATATATGGTGGTGGGAGCAGAAGAGATCAGGTGAAAGTTGTGACCCAAGGAGTGGACATTGTGATTGCAACACCAGGCAGATTGAACGACTTGGTGGCTGCAGGTATATTTTTTTATGAAAAATAGTGACGCATTGACTGATATAAAAAGCTATAACAGATTGGAAGGTCAAAATGCTCATATTTGAAAGTTGTAATTCGATCTATCTGCCATGTGATCATTTTACGGATTTGAAGATTTCAAGATACCTTTCTCTTATTTGTTACATATTTTGCTTAGGTTTTCAAACATATTTAAACATAGACAAGGAGAGTTTCTGGTGACGTCAAAATTTATGTGTTCTTTTTTTATTTTCAGGCCATTTGGATGTCAGACCTGTAACCTACGTAGTATTAGACGAAGCAGATCGTATGTTAGATATGGGATTCGAACCTCAGATTCGTAAAATAATGTACGCGATCCGTCCCACTAGACAGACTGTGATGACAAGCGCCACATGGCCTCCTGGAGTTAGGAGACTAGCAGATTCTTACATGTGTGATCCTGTACAGGTGAGTAATTATAAGTAATAGTATATTAATATGGATACTGTTTTAGTCAGTTCATCAGTAAGTGGTTGTTGATCTCGCAATCCTCCATAAACATTCTAGATGAGCTCATCTGCTTGTCATTATTAAAATTTTAATCTTTTTTAGGTATATGTTGGCACTTTGGACTTAGCAGCGACACATACAGTCACACAAGTTATACAACTACTTGAAGATAATGATGATGTAAAGATGCAGGCGGTTAGTATTTTATAGTTTTACCTTAGGAAAGTTAGATGGAAAAACAGCTTTTTAAGGAAGATAAAGACATTTTTCTCATACATAGTAGAAAACTACTAGAGTTGCTGAAATTGAGACTTTCCACCCGATATGTATAAATTTATCGCCATCTTGTAAAATGTCTGACAAAAATTCTCAGAAGACTGCTCATGTAATTTCAAAAATATTTATTCTGAAAACAAAAAAATAATATTTCTTGAACCTCATGGCTAAATTTTATTAACAATGTTGATACGAAGCTGGCTAAGGAAAAGTATATTGTTAAATTGTGTGATCCATCTACAATTAGATTGATTTTTTTCACTTAAATTTGACATTTTACTAAGTTGTTATATGAGTAAAAAACGTATAATTCTGCTTTTGCAAGTGATGTAAAGCTAAGATTACATACCAAGTGTTTCAAATTCGGGCTGCCTTGTATCAAGTCTTCTTGCCCTCACAATTGGGATGTTGAAGACGGTAACAGATACGAAGTCGGTTAAATGCGGCAAGGTTTGTTTATTTATTTGTTCATACATTCACGGGAAAAGTCCAATTTTACAGTTTTATTCAATTTAAATTAATATGTTAACTAAATTTACTAAATATCAATAAAATAAGTTTAAAATTATTGACCACATAAATAAAATTTAACACAGTCAAAGTATTAAGAATAAAGTACAATGCAATCAGAAGTAACGTATATAAAAGGTTAGGTACATTTTTTAGGGCTTGTTTCAGGGAATCATGGGATATATGAAAAATATCGCCCTGAAATTTGTTTGCATTTTTCAACATATTATTATTAGTGTCGACCATATATGGTGTGATGTTGAGAAAGTTTGAATGACTTCTGGCCTCTAGGGTCCTAGGAGGAACATTAAAATCTATCATGTCCACGAGTTCGGGACTATTTATTAGTCCGGTAATAATTTGTGGCACAAAAGGCTGTCAAAATTTTCTTTATTCTTGATCAGACTGTTGAGTTTTAGGTCAGATTCCATGTCATTATAGTTTATGCAGTCCTTGGGGATGTTTATTTTAAAAGCTATATATTTAATAAATTTTCCCTGAATAGAATTCAATTTAGTTTTATAGAAAAAAATGTCTGTGAACTCTATAGTATTTTTCTATATGAAACCCAACATCCTCGAAGCCTTCCTGCAGCAACTCTCTATATGTTGAGCAAAACTTAACTTTGAATCAAAAATTACTCCCAGATCTCTAATCGATTTAACATTTTTTAAGATAGCCCTATCAAGAGATAAGTATTTTCTGATATGGTTAAAGATTTGGAGAACTAAATGCACATATATATTTATCTATATTAACATATTACCACACCAATGATAAAACCTATCTATGTCACTTTGTAATTTTATCATATCATTTGCATCACTAATTTCGCAAAATATATTTAAACCATCAGCATATAAAATAAAATTAGAGTATGAAAAACAATCACTTACAGTAGCGGACAAAAGTTTGGAAACATTCTCAGTAATTTTTAAAAAGTCTTGAGGATCATTAATGACAATTTGTGTTTGCTGTGGTACTTAAGAAGTTAAGACTAGCATTAAAATACCTTCATATTATTTTATGACCGAAAATGAGACGACAAAAGTATGAAACATATTTTTTATTACAAAATTAAATACAATAACTCTACAAAGATTTAAAAAATACTGTTTAGCTAATATTTGGTAGCATAGCCTTTAGCATTCAACACTGCCTGACATCTGCTGCTCATAGAAGACACCAATTTTTTACAGACGTCTGTTTGGATATTTTGCCAAATATTTTTTAAATAATCAAATAAATCGTTCCTATTTTTAAAGTTTTTCTTGTCAGTTGTCTTTTAACATGCCCCCGGAGATGTTCTTTAGGGTTTAGGTCCAGGGATTTCGAAGGCCAGGAACATTAACATTTTTTAGCCTTAACCAGTCCTTTACGCATTTTGAGGTTGGCTCCACAGTGCTTGACTGTTGGCAACTGGTACTTTTTGTCGAATCTGTTTCGTATTGGACGTCTCACATATGCCGTACCGCCAGATCCAAAACAAGTTAAATTTGCTTTCATCGCTCCATAAAACTGTATTCCATTGTTGTTCTGTCCAAGTTAGATGAGTTTTAGCAAATTCAAGCCGAGCAAAACGTTTTTTTTTTTAAATGAAAGGCTTTTGCACTGGACGCCTACCAAAAAGCCCAAAATCCACCAAGCGTCTCTGCACTGTTCTGACAGAAAGATTATCGGCAACCTCTTCTACGATTCTTTTGAAAATCTCTGTGGCTTGCATTCGAGGATCTTCAAGGGACAAACGTTTAATGTAGCGACCCAAAACATAATCGGTTATTTTCGTATTCTTGATATTTACTAATAATTTTCGAAATCATCCCTTTGTTCATTTTTAATCTTTGAGAAATGTCAACATTTCTGACACCACTACTAAATAACTTTGTCTCTTAAATCTTTTGAAAATTCTTTTACTTTTGCCATTCTCACTGATGTTAATATTTACCGCATGCATTATCAGAGTATCGCAGAACGAATAAATACGGCAAAAATGAAAGGTTTCCACACTTTTATCGTTACAAAAACTGTGGTATTAAAAAAACGCGTGTTTTTATTTTCTGAGAATTTGTATATTGATACATCTTGTATTAGTACGAGAGACAAAGGTTGACTTTAATATTTATATTATCTGTTCCGTCACAATTTTAATTTTGGTATATTAGAAATAGTTCATAATAATGTTAATATTTGTTCCAAACTTTTGTCCGCTACTGTATTTCATTAATATATAAATTAAAAAGTAGTTGTGCAAGATGAACTCCCTGTGGACTCCAGAGGACACAAAAATAGTATCAGACAAATAAACATTCAACCTGACAACTTTCCTTCTATAACTTAGGAATGATTTTAACCAATCAAGTAGGGACTCCTGCATGCGAAGTTTTGAGTTGCTCATTTAATAAAAATGATATTTCCATAGTTGACCTTCAAGATGACAGCAGATCACATGTTTATTGGATTATATCACAATTTGAAGTTTGCTGCAGTTTTTCAGGAGCGTTTTAAGCTCAGTCAGATAATTTGTCCATTTATCAACTATAAGAACTGTTGTTTTAACACGAAGGAGCCTCCTCCCAGATGACCCCTCAGCTGTAGATTAATGGTATTCAAATGCAAGATGAGTGCATGAGTTCATTTATGTCGGATATGAAATTTGTTTAAAAACCTTGCAAAATCGTCGAAACTTTTACTTCAAAATATTTCAGTTTTTTAAATTATACCACTCTCAAATAATATAAAAAAGCATTAGTGTTCTTTCCGATGATTTAGGACCAACTAAAGACTAAAGGACGATTTATTTTTTATACATTTGAAGATTCATAATGTCAATCTGTGTCATGGTATGTACAATATCAGATCATTCATAAAAATTGAAGCAATGCATGACTGCTGAACTATTGAAAAACTTCAAGACCGGCCTTGGAAATACTGCAACTACAACTTTGCCCCCATTTAAGGCCGCACGTCCCTTTTTTCGGTTTTTTTCAACTACCTACTTGCAACAATTCTCTAAACCCTTTTCATCTGATTACTTCATGATGTGTCTAGAGATGACTAAAAACATCGTTTTTAATTTTGTTTTGTCATAAAATGGATTTATTATGCATTTTATTGTGAATATTTTCTTCGATCGTAACTTGTTAACAGATATTAGTATAGCTCTGAAATTGTATGTGAATATTTCACTTTCATTGATGAATGGAACAAGTGATTACTTTTATTCTTATCACTTTTTCTCTTCGAAAAATCTTTGCTTTTATTGAAAACTCACTTGCTGCTAGACGACGCTTCAAGATAATCAAAGATTTTTCGAAAAGAAAAAGCGATAAGAACAAAAGTAATCACTTGTTTTATTCTTCCATAAAAGAGGAATATTCACACACAATTTCAGAGCTGTACTTACATTTGTTAACAAGTTCGAATTGAAGAAAAAAATGTACAATAAAATGCACCAAAAATGCATTTTTTGTCAAAAAAAATTAAAATATTGTTTTTTAGTAATTCCTATACACACCATGAAATTATCAGATGAAAAGGATCTAGAATACTGCAGCAAACAGGTAGTTTTAAAAAAACTGTTCCGAGACCCCAATTGTGAGGGCAAGAAGACCGGAAACATTTACGGAGTGTTGTCGAGAGATGGGAATTTTAAGGATGTATGTGATTAAACTAGAAATAGTTTTGATACTTAAGCGTTTCTTGAAGCTTTTTCTAATTTACTGTGTTTCAGAAAGAATTTAATTCTTATTCATAAGACTATTTCAAATTAGGATTAGACAGCCACTAGGATTTCTTCACGGATTTAATATTTTGTGCATTACACTGTGAATAATTATTCATCTAAGGAATTTCAAAATTACATTTTTTGTCTATTTAGCTAATGGAGTTCGCACGAAACTTGTCCCCCGACGAGAAGGTGATCGTATTCTGCGGCAGAAAAGCCCGTGCAGACGAGCTGGCCTCCGAGTTGGTGTTGAACGGCATCAGCTGTCAAACGATGCATGGCGACAGAGATCAATCCGACCGAGAGCAGGCTCTTTTGGATATAGCGGATGGTACTGTACAGATACTCATTGCTACTGATCTGGCTTCCAGGGGATTGGACATTGATGATATCACGTAAGTTCAATATCAAGATTAAAAAAGACTGGCATTTTAGGAAGATGGTCAAAATTAATTGAAGGGTATGCCGGAACAACGTTCTAACCGCCAAAAGTTTAGTTTTGAGAAAAACGAAAAAAACGCTTTTCTATGTTTTACTCCGAAATTAAAAAAAGAAAACAGACAGGCTATTTACTAATCGATATTTTAATATATTTGAGAAACACAACATCTTTTTATAAACCATGTTAAACAAATTAAGAGCCTTATAAAATTAATTCCCTAAAACAAAGTTATATATACACGTCACTTACAACGTTTTTACACGGGAACGAGTCGTTTACGACCTTGTTTTACGCTTAATGGGTCAAATTTTTTTTTATTGTAATACAGTGAACCAACATAGTTGGTGCTACAAGAAACATAATACAAATGGATAACATTTTGATGGTTTTAAACAACTTTCAGGTTTTCGTAACAACTAACATATTTTAAGGGGATATAGTCACACATATCCATCAGGTTTGCCTTTTTTTCCTTTTTGATCGAAAGTGCTTCATTATATGCCTCTTTAAGGTCTCTTATCGCTACTTCTTGTACTAATTTCTTGCGTGACTTCAACAAGTAAGTAAACCATGGTTGAAGTGTGTTGTGAGACTTTCTTACTCGTAAAGTATTCACATCATCTGCGGTCATTTGCAACCACATTACTTGGGTGATTTTACATGATGGATCTTTATATATAACATTTTCCGCTGCCTGAAAATCCTTAAAAAAAGATTGATGCATGAAGATCACTTTAAATGGATTGGATACCTTCGACTTAGCGACAACATCAGCCCACTGTGAGGGAACAAATACTTTAGAGATTTTTTTTTGTCGTTCTATGAGAGAAAAGTCTCTATCACACGGCAAAAAGCTATGCCCGCTCGTAAGAAATTTTTGTTCGACTTGCGTAAAGAACTTTTCTAAAACTAGAAGTCGCAGCATTGTCAGCATTTTCCAGTTATTGTTCTGGCCCACACACCTGTCTGACCATACAACTAGTTTTCTTTCTTCACCTGCTTTGAGACGACTATACTTGTTAGTAATATAGAATAGTAGTGCTGAAGCAATCCCTGTAGATCCCCGATGTGCCATTGCTTCATGTCATAGTAACATTGTTGCGTTTTCCTCCCCCATATTATGAACAGCATAGTTATATGTTGAGAATTGCCTTTGATAGAATACAGATGAATGTGTTAAATTGGGACAAAAAAGCACTTGTTGCAGATCTGTGCACAACACAACATAATTTGGATTGAGTTTAGAGGTCTCGGTATCATCTTTCAATGTTTTATAACCCGCTTCAGCTTTTCTCTGGTGGATCTCACTCTCGATTTCTATTTTTTTCTTTTCATTAGCGTCATCAGTTGAACAAAGTTTCATAAACAGCTTGTCACAATACGAACATGTGTCAGATCTTGGTAAACCAAATCGCAGATTGAACTTGCTCTTGAAAATGTCGTGATAAACCCTAAAGGAAATATTATTTGCATCGGGGTATTTCTCCTTAAAAAGTCTGAACATTTTTGAGATATTTAGATCAGCTGGAAGGCATTGTTTGGCTGAAGTATTTCTGCTGTAATGATTTTCCTGTAGGGGAAACGATCGGATGTGATCGGAAATGAGACCTACGTCCATGTTTTTCAACTTTTTAGGACGATTGAGATGCTTTCCACGTTGATCTTGAAGGTTATTCATGTTCGCTTTAAGTTTACCAATAAGCCACTGTAATCTTCTAGGCGTAATTGAGAATATATAACAAACTGTTCCTCTACATACTTGAGTGCCATTAATACTGTACTTTACAGTGCAATGTCTACGAGATATATTTTCCTCAACTCTCCTACGTTTTGGTTCTTGGAGCGATATGATTTGCGACAGATATTGCGACTGACCATCATAATGAAGCTTCCTAAATTTCTGGAACAGACTCACATGTCTTCCAACGAGCAAATCGGCGTTACATCCTCTGGGGGTTTGAGGACATTTGCAGACACGTTCCTAAAAAAAAATGCACACATTGCACGATATCCCATACTGTCAGGATGGTCACAGGCCCAAGCCATAAGTGAAATTTCGGGACCACGCTGCATATTGTGTATTAAACACCTTACATAAAAAACGGTCAACATTTTTAGTACACTATGAAAAATTGGATAATAATGTGCATCGCCTGTGGACACTTTTAAGTGTTAATAAATCTTACCTCTTCTGGCTGGCTTAACGCAGCCTTAGGTACGTTTCTCGATGAAATGTATGCTTCTCCTGCATCCCTCTGATGTTTTCTTACAGTCTGCTTCCAGGTGTCAATTTTTAGCTTTCGTTTTTTACCTCTGTTCATATGACTAATAATAGACTCTGATAAACTAACTTTCATCTTGCAGAAACCACGTGGGCTGTGGTAGCTTCGAAAACAAACTTGCTGAGACCTGTCGGCGCGTGCACATACAACGTTGTTACGTGGATATCAAGATTCACTGAATCATTTAGACGTCTGGACACCGATTAAATTTGTGATTCTCAGCTTGAAAGAGGGGGAGGTTATGCGAATGGATACATAGATCCTTGTTTTATAGAAATCCCACTTTTGACCAAACTGTCGGTTAGAACGTTGTTCCGGCATACCCTTCAATTATAATCAACAACATTCAAAATTAGGAGAATACTTTTGAGAATTGATTATACTTGTTATACGCAATTATTATATAAACGACACATAGGCAAAGCCTTCTGTGGATTTTCCATATTTATTTGCCCATGTTTAAACATTTGTATTTTTTCGAATAAATATTATTATATGCACCAGTGAAGAAAGAACGAGTATTATCAGATTCCAGAAATTTTGTCTCATTCTGTCTGTTAGCCTGATTAACCCATTGCGGCCAGGATCATTTTATTATCATTAAATTGGTCATTTTATATTATACAGGGTGTTAGGGAAATAATATTCGTAACTTTAAGAGGTGATTCCTTGCATTATTCTAAGCAAAGAAGCTATAACTTATGTCCGAAAATCAATCGTTTTCGAGGAAAGTGAGTCGTAAATAATTAAATGATATTTTTGTTGAAAATATGCCTTGAATTATTGAATACTCTTACGCAATTTTTTGTGGCTAATATTTTTTATTTAATAACTCTTTCAGTACAGTACATTCTACATTTACTTAAAAAAAAATTACAACTTACCGGTACGTGGCGATATTTACCACCAATTCTCTCGATTATCAGTCACTTATTTGAAACGATGCGATGCACGAAAAAAGAAAAAAATCAACATCCGTAAATCACATAAAGTTACAGTTAAATGTATTAGTAATCACAACAACACGGGATGATACATGCAGTGCAGGCGTTGCCAGTTGTATGAGGGATTTTGTTTGTATGTTTTTCTTCGGAAAATTGTATTTTAAGCAAGGAAATTATTTTGTTAAAGGCAGTTAATTAATAAATAGACGTATTGATACATTTTACGCTATTAGGCATATGAATTTAAATTATTAAGGTGTAAAATTAATTTAATTTATGAATAAAAAGGAATAAGTTCAGCATTTTTTTGCTCCGAAACGGTTGATTTTCGGACATATGTTATAATGAACTTTTTTGCTTAGGATAATGCAAGGAATCTTAAAGTTATGAATATTATTTCCCAGACACCCTGTAGATACAGGGTGGGGCATAAGTAATGAACCGGTTTGTCAAACTAATTACTTGTTCTGCGGTGGGAGTAGGAAGTGGGGAGGGGTTTCATTGTGGGTATTGAGCATCGCCGCTTCGCTGTGCGTACGTTTTTTGTAAATGGTTGCTCCCTCATCGCAACGAAAAGAGCTATTCGCGTACATTTCCACAGTCCGCGTAATGTTACGGTCCCTAACGGTAAGACACTTAGACGTTCGGCCCGTAGATTGGAAGAAACTGGATCCACTACAAGACCTAAAGCAACTGAAAGACCCAGATCTGTCAAAACACCCGAAAATGTGATGACTGTGAGGGCAGCAGTTGAATTGTCACCAAGGCGCTCTGCTCGGAGGCTCGCTGTAGGAGAACGAATCCCCGAAACATCAACTTTTTTTCAGCAGCGTCGGGGAACACTTTCACCTCTCTGAGGCTGTCAATAAGCAGAATTTTCGGTACTGGGCTGACCGTAACCGAAGGCAACTTCATGAAAGACCTTTTCACTCACCTAAAGTGACTGTGTGGTGTGCGACGTCACAATTTGGGATCATTGGACCTTATTTTTTGAGGAGAATGGTCGAACAGTAACTGTCATAGCTGATCGTTATGTTTCAATGCTGTAAAACATTTTTGAGCCACAATTGCGACAATTGAGTGACAAAACTAATCTAGGAGATCTGTTGTTCCAACAATATGGGGCTAGAGCACACACAGCTCGGATTTCTATAGCGAAATTGAGACAAATGTTTCCTGGTCGACTCATGTCTTTGAGGGGTGACTTGGGATGGGCAGCGCGCTCGCCAGATTTAAGCATGTGCGACTTTTTTCTGAGGTTTTATTTGAAGGAGGAAGTTTTTAAACATCACCACCACACTTTAGATAAGCTAAAGACCCGAATTGTTGAGGAAACATCCACCATACCCCCAGAAATGTGTAGAAAAGTAGCTCAAAACTTCATAAATAGACTACATCAGTGTATTGCTGCTGAAGGCCACTATCTTGCTGAATGTGTGTTCAAAACTAAATAAAAAATGGAATTACATACAATAAATAAGATTTTAAGCCTGCAAGTGATTCAGTTTTTCTTTGATACCTCCTCTAAACCGGGTCATCACTTCTGCCCCACCTTGTATATTGAATTAGTACTAGTGAATATAAGGTGACCCTTTAAATGTCATACCATTGGTATTACACAGCCGGTCATCGTAGGTATTATAAATGATAATAGTGGCTTGATGATGCCTGGTTAGTGAAGAGATTCTGTCTGTAACTTGATTCCCCATATCCCGATTTACCAAATCACACAAATCAAACGGCATTCGGACCAGTAATACCATTGATTAAGGTATTCTCAACAAGAGATGCTAGAGAGCACTGCCGTCTAAACTCCCTATGATGCCTTAGCTGTGTAATACTCGTTGTAACATACTGTATATGTGCTCATATGGCTATCCTGGGGATATGCTTTTCCAGGAAACTAGCTTCTTACACCAACATATGGCAAAAATAAAGGTTCTTATTATTTTCGAACTGTACTTAGACTGAGATAAAGATAAATTATGATAACACTGTTAGCTTCAAATCAGTAAGCAGCTGAAACGCCCCATTACTAGAAGAAATTCATCAAAACAACCTGTGTTGTGCTTGATACAAAGTCCCACTTCGCAACTTGAACGTTTCCATAAGGTGCGTGTGCCTATACCAGCTAAGCTACTGTTGGCTATCATTTCATTGCCACTCATGATAACGTCTGAATACCAACAGGAGCTGAGTAAATTAACTATGAATTGGTGATCATCGCAGAAGACCAGTAGGCTGCAACAGGTTAATGACATTTTTGGCACCTAGCTACCTATAAGGATAAAATTTAGGATTACTGCAATATTTTTAAAGATGTGTACATTGTCGACGGAACTGTTTACAAGAAAAAAAAAATTTCAGGCGCTGATGAATTTTTCTTCAATTTGTACAATTTTGGGCGTGGCTTAAACTTTCGTTTGTCACGTTCCGCAAATTTACGATTTCAAAACATTATGTAGGTAAAATTAAAATCTGTAGGGTATTTTGACTGTTTTCAAATATCTAATCGTTTAAAATTTTTTTTGTATATTCTCTTGTGCCATATGTTTTGTTATTTTATGATATTTTTCGGTTACCTGTAGGTGTAATTTTTACGCTTGAGGTGATTCCTGAGACTGGGATTTGTCCTTGGAATAATTTTTTGTAATTTGGTGCACTACTGAGCATGATTTGTATCCTATATACAGGATAGTGTAGTTCGTATTGAACAACAACTTTCTTTCTCAGACATGTGGTTAACTATGACTTCCCACGAAATATCGAGGAGTACGTACACAGAGTTGGAAGAACGGGAAGAGCCGGGAAATACGGAGAGTCTATCAGTTACTTCACTAGAGGAGACTGGGGACAAGCCAAGGAACTCATCTCCATATTGGAAGAAGCTCAACAGGTATTTTTTCTGGCAAACTCAAGTTTGGTGTCAATCGTAATAGTTTGACCATTCTGGAGTGCCTCTACCGTGTCTGTTGTATTGGTCAGTAATTTGGAAAGTTGTTTTTGACATGCAATATGCTTATGACCGTATTCACCGGTCTAGTTTGACTTTAAGTCAAACAGTAATTGTTTTCAGTCCTCTCTGTGTGTGAGTGCGGCCAAATAGAAGATCGATATATTTTTTGCCTGCTTTATTAATCAGTTAGGACATTTTGGGTGATATGTTGATTAAAGGACTCCGTAAAATATGTTTATTTGCTTCTATATTTTGTAGGGCTATATTTTTCCTTCTTGTCTGAATCATAGGGAAACCTCCCATGAACATTTTTACACTAACTTCCAGAAAGTGCGACAATACTTTTTATACAATACAACATTTTTGCAAAGAAATTCTTGGATGAGCTTCGAGTTTCTTGAACCCAAAATCTGTCTTGCCAAAATATTATTATCGTTTGTAGTTCGGTCTAAGTTGGAACCTAGCGACTATGACGACGCTGCATACGACCATTAGACCTCATTATTAAATACTCCGATACTTCTGGAACAAACATTTTTCAATAGAGACGCCCCATTCTTAAACATTTTGAAAATAATTTTTCAATCATTTGTCTTTTTTGGAATGGTCAGATATCTTTGGTATGCTTACAAATTTTCAAGTCGAGCATGTCTTATATTTCACTAATAATTTTTTGGACGCGCAAATGCAATATTATATTGGTCATCTTCACGTAATCATTGATCAAAAGAAATGCTGTTTTACAAGTTGTTCAGATGATAAAATATGGGTACCAAGATCTTCCTAAAATAAAAAGGCGTTTGTCAGTAGAATATTTATATGATTATTTAACAGCATATTTTCGAGTAGATTGTTGATTGGTTTGTTCGTACAGCCTGTTTGCTGACAATCAGCAAACTGATAGTCGGCGACAAGTCATGACCTAGTTTACGCAGTTAGCTGTCGCTGACTGTATTAATTGCGTACATGAGAACGTTACGAGTTGGCTGAGGGGTCAGACCGATCACCGACAACTAGTCCGCTGTTCGTACAGAAACTTCTGACTTTTTGATGACTGTCAAATCAGTCAGCAGATAATTTTCCAGTAAATTGTCAGAGGTCGAAATCAAGTACAATAATTATTTGAATGTAACATTTTTCAGAATGAAGTAGACAATTTTGAAAAAGTTGGGGGTTCATTTGCTGTAAACCAGAATTATCTAGGATTTTTTTAGTCCAACTGCCTGAATGTGCCCGAATTTTCCTCTAGAGATAAAAATATGGACACTTTCTAGAAAAAATAACAGCACCCAAAAATGTCAAGTAGATTTACTCAGTAATTACCATTCAATTCTCATATATAAAGTATAACCATAAATACAAAGAAATATAATTCCACACATCGAATGACAAGTTGAAGAAGTAAATACATAGTAGGAATTCTGAATACACGTCTGCAGTGATTATGCATGAGAAATGTACAAATTATTGTGCATGACTTTTAATAAAACTCTGATAGTAGGGTTTTTGTTTCCTGTTCCCTTGTCGCCCAGCCTCGAAGTGTATGCACAAACAGTATTTATATATTCTAGCTATGTAAGTCCAACCCAAAGCTGATGAAAAAAACAAAATAACGAATACTGGAGATTTTGTGATAAATCTTTTTCTCACGGGTGCCCACGGAGAGGGTGTGCCTGTTTGTGCTGGAGTAAAAATAATATTTTCCATATACAGAGTATTTTAAATTCGACACTCACCATTGGGATCTCGGAAACTTCAAGGGATACGAAGTCACTTAGATAGAGGAAAAGTTGCGTATTCAGATAATCAGCAAAATGTCGCTTAAAAAGTTTTGAAATTGAAAGTACTTTCGGCTAGAGACGTAAGAAATGAAATTTCCCAAAATGGTTTTAATTTTCTCCCGACTTTATTTGTGGTGGGATTTCAAAATAAATTGCACATGAACTCTGCTACATTTTCTCCTCTACAAGACAATTAGAATTTCAATATGCCGTTTCGTGTCTTGTCCTCCAGCATTAACTTATTTTTCTTACAGACGCCATATTGGATTCTTAAACACATGAATAGAATTTTTATTCTGATTTAAAAAATGTATGTCATACATTGACATTGCAAAACCTTAGTTATTCCAGAAGTTCCTAGGTAGGCCTTAAAATTATTAGATTTCATTTGTTTGCATAGCACCAGAGTTTGGTAGGCTGTGAATATCTCTACTTATTTATGGTTATTATTGTTATCACCATCAATAAAATTTTCATTTCGTATTCAGGTTTCACCATATATTTTTATCTCCTTTTAATTTTCATACAAGAAAAAATTTATGGTCAACTAACAAGTAACTGAATTTAGGGCTTAAAAAGTCCATTTGAATGTACAAAATTCCAATATAGTGTCCGTATGAAAAAACAAATTTGATGATGGAAGCCGAAAGAAGAAATGTCGGATTGAAAATTTGACTACGCCATCTTGCAAACGAGAATAAGTAACAATGACAATATGCAATTTATTTTGAAATCCCATCTCGAATAGAGTCGGGAAAAAATAGAGTGATTTTGGGATAAATCTGGTGAGCGAAACAAACATCTGATAATTTCAAGGCCTACCTAAGAAATTCTGTTTTTCTTAAGGTACCTAATCAAGGTTTGACAACGTCAATGTATGACGTATTGTGCATTTTTTTTAATCAAAATTAAAAACTCTATTCATCTGTGCAAAAATTCAATATAGCGTCTGTAAGAAATAATAAAGTTGATGCTAGAGGACAAGAGACGAACCGTCATAGAAATTCTGATTATGCCTTCTTGTAGAGGAGAAAACGTGGCACTTTTAATGAGCGATTTATTTCAAAATCCCAATATAAATAAAGTCATGAAAAAATCAGAACAATTTTGGGAAAATTCAGTTTTTCTGTTAGTCTACGGAAGTACTTTGAATCCTAAACCTTATAACAGTCACTTTGTTGACTACCCCATTTAAGCGACTTCGTATCCCTTACAGTTTCCAAGATCCCAATGGTGAGTTCCATATTAGAAACACCCTGTATATGCAGACACTTACTAGAAGAAAGAAGTGAAAATACTACAAGGATTTAATAACGCCTTTGAATAATAAAGAGTGTTATACACTAAAAACTAAAAAAGCTGAATCGGCTAAACATAACTATATACAATTCTCAATATCTGTTTACATAGCTATAAGTTTCACAGAGTTCTCCACATGGACAAAAAGAACTGAGACTACGAAAATACATATAAGAAGACTTAAATCGCGTAACTATGCATTTTACAACTGTACAAAATTTTTCAAATGATTAGTGATCACAAAAAACCTATTAATTATGGTTCTTGAAAGTTATGTCCTCTATTGTTCGGATTTTTCATACTGTATTCATAATCTTCATTTTGCCATTACCGGGTCAGTAAACAAAATATTGAGCACAAAGCACTTTGGCGCTGGCTGATATTTAAAATGGAATTTCATTGAAATTTCTTCTGGCACTTAAGAAAAATTAAGGTTTTTGCGTTTCTTTTTTTTTACACCGAAGCAACCGCGCAGGTGAACCCTACATGCCATGCACCGCGACTGCTTTCAGTAGCTTAAAGAAACTTTGTTATTCCCATTTTTGAACTGCCTAAATTTAGTAGCTGGGAAAATCTCCTCATGCAGATTGTTACACGATCTCGAGACCCTCGGGACAAAGGAGCGGTCTTATTGGCCAGTTCTGTATTTACGAAGTTCGACACGCTTGCGATGGGAGGCCGAAGTCAGGTAGGCACATCGCGGGCGACACCATGGAAGAGAGCTCTGAGGAGCAAAGCCCGCTTGCGTAGCTAGATCGCCAACCCCGTTGGTACGAAGGTGTCCTCAGACCGTCCATTCGAGAAGAGTTCATAAAATGCCTCTTGCGAACCAATTTTAGTCCTCAAGGTAGTTCCAACACACTCTGATACCTGCCACTGTCACTGGTTAACAGGTGTCCTCTGATCTGTCAGAAGGATATGTACGACCAGCGGATTAGCTGTCGGCAAACAGTCAGAAACTGTACGAACAGGTAACATCTATCTGATTCTGATTTTGACAGTCACCGACAAGTTACCGACTACTGTACGAACAAACCAGATAATAATTAATATGACAATTAATGAGAATTTTGGATAGTATATGTATATGGCATTGTTGCTCTGAAAACAACACTACCAAATTCTAGAAAGTTATCCTAACGACTTGGCCTTAAATAACTTTATATCAATATGCTGAAAGTACTGCGCGAATCTACTATCATTTCAAAACGGGTGAAGGATTGACGTAAATAATGGAATATACAGGGTGTCCCAAAAATAACACTCCAGATTGACACGGTATATAAATCACTAGATAATGAAACAACCTAAACATGTCGTTGACTCTCTCACATTCATTGTTCGGACGGTAGCATAATGTCACCCCGAGGAACAGAGTAATTTGGATACAAGACAGCTGCACTTATATTTTTTATTTGTAGTATTTCGCAAGTGTTACGACGTCAATGACAAAACTTGGAGTTATTCAATTTTTAGTAGAAAGAACCTACAAATGTTATACTATTTTTAAAAGAGCATTAAATAGGCTAGTTTTTAAGATCATTTGCCGATTCACAATAATCAAACTTTAGTAAAGGTTCAAATTGAAACAAAATGTATTAATTTTTTTAGCATACCGTGCTAGTTTTCAATGAAATGAATACTCGGTTGTCTCAACCAACTATTAATGGCAGCCCAGAAAAAAACTCATAAGTTAGAATTTCTTAATAGCCATGACAGGCAAACAAGGTAGCAAAAAGTGATTTTTTGAAAAAACCTAAAAGTGGCAATATCTCTAAAACTATAAAACTTTTACTAAGGTCATGTTGATTTTATCTGATTAATCTGAAGCCAATCTACCTCCCGTGTCACTCTGACTTGTTACTTCTGGGACACCCTGTATAATACTACACATCCAAACGCAATATTTCAGTACTTCTCTTGATTGCAAATAACTATCCTTTTCAATTTCAGTACGTGCCGGAAGAACTGCATGACATGGCGGAACGCTTCGAGAAGATGAAGGACAGGAGGGAAAAAGAGGGAGGTTCCAGGGGTAGGGGCGGCGGAAGGTTTAGAGGTGGAGGAGGAAGGAGATGGTAGTGAATATTTATTGGAGAGGAAATGATGCATTTGAATTTATTAAGTTTAGTTAAATATGAGCCGATATCTCGTTTATGTTTTTTAAGTAATAATAACCTCATTTTTCTATATATAGTTGTTTCAATTTAATGGTAAATGCCCCATTAAAGCAATATTAAGCTATAATTACGGCAACTATAGTCCAGCCATGATGACCATATTGCAGCATATAGCCCGGTTATATCAGCTATATACAGCACGTCTGTGCTTCCGTTCGCCTAAGTACAAAACATGTAATTATTCAGTTTTACATATTTCATTGCCTAGACTGGCGTATTTATTTTCCTTTTAACTCGCACCCTACCTGACTGGGTGCAATTAAATAGTATTCTGATTTTTGAGTTCAGTAATTCCTTTGAAATTTCAATTTTTTTCTGGGTGGGAGAGATTCAAGAGATAAAACTCGTGAAATCGAGAACCTCTCGTTTTCTTACTACTTTCAAGGCAAGTAGTACCTCATATTTTCTCTCTTTGTGGGAAGAAACATGGGCGCCCTCAGGAATTTTTCTCAGGGGGGGCCATCATCGGCCAGAGATAACTGTACCTGCCGGAGGTAGCAAATCGTCAAAATTGTACACAAAATAATGCTGAATTTTAAGGTCCAACCGGAGCGAGATTTCACCTGGAGTTGCCGACCACAGATATTCACACTGTGCTGGGATAAGTGCTGATTTTTATATTCCTTTTTATCTTGACTGACCGCCATTTCGGCATGCTAAATCGGCACATATCCCAGTGTAGTAGTGGAATCCTCCGTGAAATTTGTTCCTCTCTTCCATTCATTTTTTCCTGAAATGCCTTGAGAGGGGAAGGACAAAGAGCACTTGACTGAGGTCAGACCTTTCATTTCTTTTTGTGACAGCCTATCTTTACCTTACCTTATTTTGTTTTCGTAACAGCCTATCTTTAGCTTAACTAATTTTTTTTTTCGTGGCAGACTTACCTTTGACGTAGACTGACAGAGAACGGAGATGGACTGGTTACATCCATGGCCTTTCCTGACTTCATTGATCTCTGGAACTTAGTTTTTGAGCACTCGATTAGTGGGAAGTACTCTTCACACAAAGTTTTTTTGTACCAGTATTCTGCCCTTGGTCAAGATTTTGGAACGATTATCAGCCATATGTAGTTGTTGTATATATCAGGTATAAAAAATGAAAACAAACAGTTGTGTCGAGTTATATTTATTATCCAACGAAAGATTTGTTGTTTTCTAGCATTTTGCCAAATTTTGGCTGTTTTTGGCCAATTTTTTCTTCTGGATTTTCGATGACGCGTCCATGCATGTCGAGCAGCATTTGTCGTACGTAATTACGTGAGTAACGTCCAAGGGGTATTATTATGTGTGCGTGTGAACTAGTTTTTATAAAAAGTGTCAATATATACTAAATGACATAGAAAATGCAACACCGACGAGGACTACTGTAATTTTGAGCTTTCTGTTTTAGGTCTACTGATAAATAGAAAGTGATTAAAATTTTAACTTGAAATTTCGCAAAATACCTGAGATATCCCACCTTAATGTTAATACTGTGTTGGAGCTTCTCTGTTCGCTACAGATTCGTCAAGTCGTCGCGGCATTGATTGGATTAGTTGTATGATGTCTTCTTGGTGTATTGTATCCCAGGCCATCTGAATTTGATTTCGTAGATCCTCCAATATTTGTAGAGGGTGCAGTGAATTTTGCAACCTTCTTCCCATCATGTCCCAGACATGTTCGATGGGGGAAAGGTCTGGCGATCGAGGAGGCCAGTGAAATAAATTTACTACGCACGCTTCTAAAAAGTCTAAACTAACACATGCGACATGAGGTCGTGCATTGCCCTGCTGAAAAAGTGGATCTTACAAGGTTTCCAAAAAGGGAAGCAGACGTGGTTGTAAAACTTCGTGGATATAGCGCTGGGCAGTCATGCTACCTCGAATGAACAGACGTGCTGCCATAAGCAATGGCACCCCATACTAACACCCACTGTGCGATGAATATGTCGTTTCACTACGTCTCCTTACTCTTACACGGCCATCATGTGTGCCAAAACAGAATCTGGACTCATCGCTGATCACGACTCCATATTCCATTCAAGTCTCTCCATACCAATCGTTGCCGACGATGCTGTAGGGTGAGAGGTAGTACAAACAGTATGAAAACAGTCCAAAAGACCTTATTAAGCGATAACCTGTCCTCATCGTTGTCCTTCGACAGCATCAAACCACTGGTTCGCAATTGCCCTTGTTGTGGAAAATTGATCTCTAAGTGCTAGTTGCCTCAAATAACGATCATGTCGCTCTGTAGTCTGTCTTTCACATCCAGTACCTGTAACTCGTCGATTTCGGCCTTCTTGGAATCACGCTCGAGAACATCTCATTACAGTAGCTTCGGTTAGATTCACCCGATTTCTCTAAAATAAAATCCGACTTGACGTAACCCGATCCCCTCACAAACTCGGAAAGTTGAGTGAAATCAGCGCGTCTGCGAACTCTAGGCATGATACTGCAATGAAACAAATGGAACCAACACAGAAAAGTCATTGAACATTAAGTAAACATGTTCATATTGTTCGGATCCCGATGACAAAACATCCTTTACAAAAAAAAATAAGCCCCTGGCTACCTTCAACATTTTATCAAAATTCATTAAATAATATATATATATATATATATATATATATATATATATATATATATATATATATATATATAACTCAAATATCTTTCTTCAACGAAAACGTTTTTAAAAAGATTTATTTTTGAGAAAGACCAAATACAATGATGTTAATTGAATGAGTTCTGAATCGAGACTGACTGCAAAGTTCATTATACAAACCAAAGTAAAGAACAAATGAAATACAATACTGAAACTGATAAGAAAGGAACGTGGAGGCAAAAGTCCTTGTTCAGCATATTCTTCTCTATAGACTGGTACATAACTCCTCCACCCCTAGAATGAAGCTTCCCCTAGAAGGTGAATTTCTTTCTTCTTATATCTTGAACTGGAATCTTCTCTTCTAGTTCGTTTTGTGGGACTTGGACCTTCTTCTTTAATCTCGGCTAATTCAATGTCGATTTCTAACTTGGATGCTTTCTTGTTTCTCCATCTTCTATATAACATTATGCAGCAAATATAGTAATATGGTCCAAATACTGGGTTTTCCAAAATTTTCTATGGAATTTTCTTCTAAAATTGGTAACATTCGATTAACTTGTAATTCTGGTAAATTTAATGTTTTCAGAGTAATTTGTGTCTCTGGGATATTTTGTTTCATAAAATGGAAATCCATTTTGTCAGCTACGAGGGGCTTTCCATAGGTTTTGTCTTGGAAGATAAGTTCATTGTCTTGGAATGATATTTGGCATTCACTGGCTTTGACTAAGAAAATGCCAAGTAATGACTTTGTATCGATTTGCTCCTTGCATTTAATTTTCAATTTTTCTTCGGTGAGAAATACAGCTAAATACTGGTTAATTTCGGGAATAAATTCGATGTGATTTTCTTCAATCTGAAGCTTCGTGTATCTACACGGTTCTGTATGATCTTCTGTAATTATTGACTTCTCGCATTGGGCTTTGTGATTGGCTAGTATACGATTAGGGCATTGATAGATTCTACCTTGGGTACAAATCTCGTGCAGGGGTTTGATCTCATTTCGATCAGATTTTAGCAAATACTTATAATTTGGGATAATAGTGACGAATTCTGATTTGTGCATCAGAGTCGGTATAAGTAACATATAATAAAGATCGAAATGTTCAGGATAATCTATAGGAATAGATAGAAAATAACTTATTTGATTCTCATCGATTTTACAACTGATAGAAATAAAATATTCATAATTTAGCATATTTTCATACTTTACTTCAAATGGTAATTCATTTTTATAAAATGTGGATATCTTACGGAGTTCTTGAAATAATTCTCTAGTCCTTATTATACTGGGATGCATGGTTTTTAATTTGCAAAAAGTTATCGAATTTTCGATATCTTGTAAAATATTCAATATGGCATTATAAAGGATAATTAATTGATTGATAATGTCCTTCGCTGAAAGAATATCCTGGTTTGTTGTCTGGTTCAATAAAATATGTTTCAATTGTAAAATGTTATTTCTTAATGTCATCTCATTGTGCTGTATATTTTGAATAGTCCCATTAAATTTTGCGACAAGTTCATTGTTTACTGAATATTGCATTCTCAGCTGATTTTGAATATGGTGTTGATTTTCTTGTAAATGAGATAAAATTTTATCAATACGTTCTCCATCGTCGGAGTCTAAATTTCCTGTTATTGTTTTTACTACATAGCCTATGCCATTAAAAAGTCCTCTCTTATTGCGAGTCTTTTGAGAATGAGATTTAATGTATTCGATTTTCTCTTGAATCAAGCTCCTTATATAAGATACTATCTTACTATAATTTTCTAGCTCGTTATTAATCTTAGAAAGGTTTCTGTAACTATTCCTTCATATTCCTTATATAAAGGTGATAGATCATAATAGTGCACAAAAGTATGTTTTGTCTTTTGTAGCCTAGCTGTGCCTAAATTTACTGGCAAAATTCCTAAATTGTTCGTTATGTTTCTTATTTTTGCTCCGCATCCGAAATAGATGAGGTATCTGAAATATTAGTAAATTTAAATTGGTAAGTTTTCTTCCTGGGCCTTTTAATATTGGATAAATGGATATTTTTGGAAGTATTGGTATGTGTGGGATCTATCTCCGCTCTTTTTAATTTCTTATCTATACTAATTAATTTTTCTTGCTTATACTTATTTTTAGTTTTCTGTTGCTTCTGTTTATTCTTAACATATACCTTGTTAGGAATATCAGGCAAAACTTCACGTTTCTCATTTGCTTTATTTTTAACTTTTTCTTTATTCTGTAATATCTTTTCATTTAAATTCCTATATACTAATTTCATTTTTTCCTTATGACTCTGTAAATAATTATTTAATAATTGCTTATCTATGTCTATATTAAAAGGTGATTCTGTATTGAAATGACCAGTAATCACTTCATAGGGTTTAAGATTGGTTACAGAATGTATTGTGTTATTATAAGCTAAAATATCGTAATTTACCTTAG